TGTCTGTCCTGGTGTAGCGAATTGGATATTCTTGCTTGCTATGACAATATGAGCCTGACACTGGATAGTTACAACCCAGCGCTGATGCAAAATCTGGGGTAGGGTAGAATATGCATAGCTATAATAAAAGCATTTTAGACTTCTACTGGCATGCAAACTGTGGGAAATGGGATCCCCAAGCTTGCATTATGACTCTGCTCACTAGGGGGAAGTATTGTACAGTATCTTTCTGGTGTACTCAACATACGTCCCCAGATTTGGCATAAACCCTGGGCTGTGACTACTATCCAGTGTCAGGCTCATATTATTGCATCCATCCACTGTTGCATCCATCTCATACTATGAATCCACAAATGACATGCAGCAGCCTGAAACATGAGAGGTGATCATTGTTCAGTGAGTAACCTGTTAATTCGTAAACATCTATTTGATTAAAAATTTAGTCACACAGCATGAAATGCACCTCTGTGCAGAGAACCAGAAGAAGGCCTATGCACAACTTATGTCATAATTAAGTCCTGAGAGCATAAGTGGAGGACAGGTCTTCTGCTGGCTCTCTTCACTGGGGCAAATTTCACCCACAGTCTAAATGAAGAAGAATCTTATTAAGAAATCTTCACAATAGGAGCATTTCATACTCAGCTGGATTAATTCTTGGCAAAGCAACAAAATTTACCGGCGGGAAAATCCCTTGGAAAGTCCAGCAAATGCCATAAATGTGGGTATGTGCAGTAGGGAAACTTGTACCAACAAGGAGCGAAGGAAGTTACAAAAAATTTACCTTGCATTAAATAAGATAAGGCAACTGCACCCTTCATCAACATACCCCAAAAATTCACATGGAGAGAAGTTCTCTATGCAAACAACCATAAAATGTATTTCAGAGGAAAGATCTGAATTACAGTTATCCACGTTGGGACTCCTGCTGGTGAAGTCATTATCTGTGTACATTTAAAAACAAAACCCTACCAAAACAAAACACTACACTGCACACCTCCTGAGTATAGGATGAAAGAGAGATGTCAGTCATGTTGTTTAAGGCACTCAGATACTATGTTGAGGAGGGCAGTATAAGAATCTATATAGAATAGAATCTGAAACACAGATAGTGATGGAAGGGGCCTGAAATTAGAGAATGGAAACTGGTATCTACCTGGCTCTGATATTGGTTTAATCAGCAGAGTAAGTTTTCTGTTATTCTTTTTTGTTTCATTATTTTTTAAAATGAAGATTTAAGAAAATAATAAATAATAATAACAACAACAATAATAATAATAAATAAAAACCCTAACACACTAAAAAAGCCAAGATTTTCATAAGTGACTAGTAGTTCTGAGAGCCTCAATTTTTGAGTGCTCAACTTGAGACTTCTTATAAAGGACCATAATTTTCAGAGAGTGGGTGCTTTGCACTTTCTGAAAATCAGGTCCCTTTATAAGGTGTCTCCAGCTAGGCTCCCAAAAGAGAGGCACTAAACATCATTAGTCACTGGAAAATGTCTTGACCCAAAATTCTTCCTCTGAACTTTAAACCAGCATTGAAGCAAAGAAAAGAAACCAGTTCAGAAACTCCAGCAGCATGCTGCTCTTGGTTACACCCATTCTATCCAAGTGCAAACAGTGTAATCACAAATAATGAAGTTGCTGCGGTTGCCCAGGTGTCGCTGACTGACTGTCTCTCCATCAGCAGTAGGTTCAGCAATGTCCTTTTGGCGAAAGGCCAGACCCTGAGCTGGTATAAATGGGCATAGCTCTACTGTATTTTGCAAAGATGGATCAAACTTCTTTCTGATGAGAGAAGTTCCTTTCTCTGGGAAATTTCTTCTAAGCAAAAGGGGTGCAGCCTTCCGTGAAATGTGTGGTGTGAATGGCATCCAATCAATGGCATCTGAAAGGCAGGAGATGCTGGAGCATAATCAAGTGACTCACCTTTTCCTGCAAGTCCTTTTGCCGAAATTCCTTCCCCATACTTTAATCAAAATTTGTAAAAATTAAAAGTTTATCTGAAACGTGTAAAAAAATATTGGCTGTCATGAGTAAAGTATTGTACCTGAAAGCACAAGTGTAAGGTAAGTATATAATTTTAGGAACAGGAAATCTAACTCAATATGCCTGCCTTTTTTTGTTTGTTTTTTATGTCAGTTACTTTTTATGTCTTGCCTAGCTAGGATATAAGTTCATAAGAACAGGGGCTGGCTCTTGCTATGTGTTCATATACCACCTAGCTGGTTGAGGCCTTCAGTTGCTATAATAAATAAATAAATAATATTAACTGTCCCAATTTTCATTATATTCCCCCCAAGTCCACTCAATCTACAGAAGAAAATTTACCGTACTGTAGACATCTGAATTCTTGTTTACTCTTCCTTTCAATCTCCTTCCTTCATAATGTCCTTCCTAAACTCCTGAACAATTCTGGTCCTGCCTAAATCTCTGACGTCACTTTCTCCTACTCTCCACCTCATTGCCAATGGTCTTCTCAAACTAATCTCCAAAATGCCCCATTTGTATCCTTGACCCAGGCTTCCCGAATGCTTGGAATTTTCTCCCTTTCCTTGAGCACATGGTACACAGCAGGTTAGACAGGCAGAAAACCATTCTAAGTTGTGGGACATTACTGAAATACCCTATGCCTTTGAGCAGGGAATTTTCTTTGCTAGCCCTGAGGTTCCCTTGGATAAGTGTTTGGCTAAATGGTTCTGACCCTGGCTGTGGAAACCAAATGGTGCCAACCGAAGTGGCTTGTGCAGTTCCTAGAAAGCTTTATACACAGCCTCTTTGTTCATTTTGCATGCTGGAAGTTGCTTTCACAACTGGTTGTACATTATAACACTCCCAGTAAATTTAAATTAAAGCTGTTACTGATATGGTGTTGGGTCCAACAGAGAATGTACATCTCACTCCCTACACTAAATATCTCTAACAATACTTCTTTGTGGGACCAAACTTACTGGTGATATTTGAGATTACAGCATTAGGCTGTTCATATAAAATATCATGTACCTGCTGGAGTGGGGAGAGGTGGAAGCCATAAGGGGCTAAATGCACAAAGATACATAGGTGCCCACCTGCGTCTTTAGGTGCCTTAGTCCAACACTTAGGTGCCACTGACACTCTCAAAACCCACCGCTCAACTGCTGCCTAACCCTGTAGGTGTCTAAAGTCCCCATTGCACCTAAGTTTCCACAGGTAGGCATATGCAAAACCACCTGAGTTCTGATGCCGCCCCTCACTAATAAGCTATGCAGAACCCTCAGGTCACATTTACAGGAAAAGACAGCCTGGGGGAAGCAGGTCTGGAATTTTTCAGATTCAGGCAGGCATGTGTCTCCAGGATACCCAATCAGCCAGTGATTAGGCCCTTACTTGGGATATGGGAAATCCAAGTTCAAATCCTTCCTCTGCCTATTTTAGAGCAGGACTTAAAGCCAAGTCTCTTGCATGCTAGGTGAGTGTCCTAACCTCTTGGGTATTCTGGGTCAGTCTCTTTCTCTCTCTTTCTTCTTTTTATAAATACGGAATTCAATATTTATTGGAGCCGGGACTTCAACTGGACTCTCTCCTACATCAGTGCCCTACTCAACAGGCAATAGAACCACACACTCCCTTTCTCTCTCTCTCTCTCTCTCTGGCCAATTAATAGTTAATTATTTAATGCAAAGTGGAACAGCTCCAGTGGCAGAGACTGGGAGAGCCCCACCCCGGAACACCCAATGGACTGGTGGTTCAAACACTCATGGGGGATGCGTAAGACCCACATTCAAGTCCCTGCTCCAAATCAGGCAGAATAGGGATTTGAATTCAGATTGAGTCTGGCCATTACTGTAGCCTCTCTTTATAAACACTGAATCTCTCCACCTTCAAAGTTCTTTACAAATATTACCAAATTAATTCTGAACATCCCATGAAGTTGGAATGATTATCCCTGTTGTACAGAAATGGAGGTAGAGAGAAGTGAAGTGACTTCCCCTAGGCCACGGAGGAGTCAATGTCAAGACTGGAATTAAAATACAGGAGTTCCTGGTATAGAATTCTGTGATCAATCAGTGGTGTTGGAACAATTTGTATAGTGGGGGTGCTGCAAGCCATTGAACAAAACTGTAAACCCTGTATATGATGGAAACCACTTCAAGCCGGGGGGTGGGGGGCTGCCGCACCTCCAGCACTCCTATGCTCAATCCACTAGACCATGTCTCTTTCTGTTCAGGTTTTACCTATTTGTAATCTACCTGCAATATAATTCTATTGATCAACCACCAGGCCATGGGTTAGGGCACCCATCTGGGAAGTGGAAGACCCCAGGTACAGTCCCCCTGCTCAAGTCTCTCTTTTGTTATTTATTCACAGTGGAACAACTTCAACAGGAGAGACGGGGGGAACCCCACATTAGAATATCTGAGAAGTCAGTGGTTAGCGCACTCTCCTGAGAGGAGAGAAACACGTGTTCAAATCCTTTCTCCCCTTCGGGTAGAGAGGGGCAGAGGCGGCTCCAGGCACCAGCGCACCAAGCGCGTGCCTGGGGCGTCAAGCCGCGAGAGACGGCCTGCCGGTCGCTGTGGGGGCGGCAGTCGGGAGCCTTCAGCGGCATGCCTGCGGGAGGTCCGCTGGTCCCGCGGCTTTGGCGGCAATTCGGCGGTGGGTACGCCGAAGCCGCGGGGCCGGCGGACCTCCCGCAGGCATGCCACCAAATCCGCGTTACTAGCTGGACCTCCCACAGGCGCGCCGCCGAAAGCCGCCTGACTGCCGTGCTTGGGGTGGCAAAATACATAGAGCCACCCTTGTCAACCACAATTATTTGGCTCCTCCTTCTCGCACAGAAATCTTTTTGTAAATATACTGGCACTGGGGAAATCTGAGAGTCAGCACTCACTTTGTTTTGTTAATCTTTCTTGAGTTACAAACTTGTGGAGCCATATTTCTATATAACATTGAGGTTACCTGGCAAACAGACAAGTAAGATAGACACTGGTCTGTCGTGTGGCTTTGAGCAAAACACTTTACCTGACTGTTCCTCAGTTTTCTCATCTGTAAAATGAGGATAATCATACATGCCTCTTTTGTAAAGAGCTTGGAGTTTAATGGATGAAAAGCAGTGTTGTATAAGAACTAGGTACTATTGTTATCAACACAAAAGGCAAGATCCTCAGACGCTGTAAATGCAGTTACTCAGATTTACATCATTTGGGAATCTGGCCCAAAGCCCGAGCTGAGGATTCCCCCAACAACGTGAGGTGGAGAGGCAAGGCATTCCAGCAATCCTTGCCCAGCAGAACAGCTCCTGGGGATCCAGCCTCACTGGTGCAGATTAGAGGAGCTGTGAGGTTATTGTAATTTGTGCTAGGACCAACCTAGCACCCAGCTGGTTTAGGATTTCAGGTAGCGAAAAGGAGATATAATGCCACTTCTGCGTCCCCATCCCTAAGGTGTTGTGAACTCAGCTAAAGCACACTTAAGGACTGAATCCCATCTGTGTGTGCTTGATACACGGGGTATCATTAAACAATTACAGGGTATCATTAAATAATTACTTTACAACCCATACGCAATGGGGACCTCATCCTGAAAGAAATCTTTCCTGAACCAGGAGCAATGGAAGCCTTCTACAAGTGGGGGTGGGGGGAGCCCACAGGTACCTGAACCATGGTCCCGTCCCCACACCACCCCTTCCCACCAGCCCCTGCCCTCCTGCCACCCATTCCCTCTGAGGCCCCGCTCCCAGGCTGCCCCTTCTCACTGAGCCCCCATCCTCACACTGCCCCTTCCCCCAAAGCCCCACTCCCACGCCACCTCTTCCCCCAGGACCCCGCCCCCGCTCGCTCCTCTCCACCCCCTTCCCCTGTCGCTCACCCTTACAGCCAGTAAAAAGTGGGAGGGCATAGCTCCCTGGCTCCCCCATTCCAGCATCCCTGTCCTGAACCGCCTCTTCCGGCCTTCAAACAACCCCCCAAACCTCACCATCAGAAGCAAGCTCCCCACAGACCAGGACACAACAACTCAAAGCAGCACCAGACACTACCAGAACAACGGATCCAAAACCTGTGGACATGTCTCTTCTGCTACAATGATCGATATTCCCCACAACACACCTTTCAAGATCAATGCGTTCTACACATGCCTATCACGTGTGATGTACCTCATCCACTGCAGTAAATGCCCCAATAACAGCTATGTGGGTGGAACCAGGCACTTACTACACTCTCGAATGAACTCACACAGAAAAATGATAAAAGACAAAAATACCATATCATACGTGTGGGTGAATACTTTTCACTAAATGATCATTCCATATCTGACCTCCTAATGCATGTCCTCAAAGGAAACCTGCAGAACACTTTCAAAAGTCAAACCTCGGAGCTTAAATTCATAACTTTGCTAGAACTAAATATCATGGTCTTAATAAAGACACTGGATTTATGGCTTATTTCAACAATCTGTAACTCACTAACTCCCCCCCCCCTTTTGTCCTATGACGGCCGAGGTGTTAGCGAGTCACTTCATCTTGAATGGTCCCTTACAATATATGTTAACCAGTTATGCTAAACAATCTGTTCCACCTTGTATATGGCTGTGACACTCTGCGTACCTTTCTGAGACCCGAAGGAAAGCTCTGTGTAGCTCAAAAGCTTGTCTCTTTCACCAGCAGAAGCTGGTCCAATAAAATATATTACGTCACCCACCTTGTCTCTCTACTTGACATAAAGATATGTTGTTCCCCCTCCCCCCCCCCCCGAAATAATTGAGTTGTAGGGACTGATTTCTGATTGGCTAAAGCACAAGTAAACAATTTAGCGTCACAAGTTCAGTTTGGTCTTTCTTCACCTTTATCTGTGGACGCTCTTGCTAGAATGTTTAACAGCTCCTGAGGCTTGATGGGCTTGTTCTACATTTCACCCCCTTGGTATGCACTTGCAGTACTGGAGATAGATACACAACTTCAAATATCTTCCCTGGAGAAATAAAGATGGATTTTAGTTCCCGCACTCGACAGTTCTGTCAAAAACTTGAGGAATGTTATTAGCCACATGTAACATTATATTTTCATAGATCAACCATGACAGCATGGCACTGCTTATGAAAAAAAAAGTTTAAAAAGAATATCTATCTCAGGGTTTCATACCACCACCCATCGTCACAGTATCTGACTGCCTTCGATGTAAAACCAACAGCAATAGCAAAGTCCCTAGTGGACTTCATAGACTCTCTGGCACTTCTCTCTTTATGGAATCATAACTCTGAGTGGGTAGAGTTTCTTTGTGGTTCCCCCCCACCCTCACCAAGGGGTTTATGGGAGCAAGGGGGTGTCAGTGTTTGCTCCTTTTTTCAGGATTAAATGTCACACATGTAAGGCTGCTTTTTATGTAACTTTAGAAAAAAGTATAAATAAAAAGTGTTAATAAAACTATTTAAATTTAGGGCCAGATTTATTTGTTCTTTGCACAGTTTAAACCTTTGGGCAAACTAACTGAATTCCTGGGAAACCATTTTCCCCTCCCATATTCTTTTAAAATCAACAAATCATTGTTTCATGTTTCTTTTTTATGTTTGGAAAAAAACGTATTTTTCAGTTTTGTACTTTCACCGCTTCCTGCTCAATCCCACTGAGCTCTTCTTAGGAAAAGTCACTTCTTCTTCAGCTGCTGCAATAGTTTGTTAGAAAGAGGGTGTGGTATTTTCATGCTGTGACGTCTTTCAAGCCATGCCTGACTATAAAGGAGGCAGGGAGGTAATAAGCCATGCAGCACTCAAAAGTAATTTCCACAGACTGCTGGGATTTGAAGATTGATTTTAGTCTATATCTTCCTTTTAAAGAGAATAAGGAAATTGGATTCAGCTAGCAGTGGCTAATTGCATTGGGGAATAACCGTGTTCAAATTCTCAATGTAAAACTTGGATTTACAGATTTCCTTAAAATCAAGTAAGCATTTTTTCACATGTATGGTGGAAATGCTGCAAAAAATCAGAATGAGTCCTGAAATACCCACCAATCAAAACATCAGTGAAAGTGAAATCGGTGATTATAGCACGGGCCAAGGATCTCCTTTGCCTGGGGAAACTGCCAGCCCCAAAAGTTTTTCTCAACAGAGCCCATCTTTGCCAGCTTCTGGATTAACAGAATTTAATGTTGTGAGTCCTAAGAGCTGTCATATTCCCCCAGTAAAAACCCAGGAGATGTCTGCTCTCACTGGTAAGATTAAAATTTTGTTCACATACTTTCAACTATTTTGTACAACAATACTGCATCTCTTTGCAAAGCCATACAGTAACTTCTTGTAAGAACTGTGCATTTTAGGTACATGCAGTAATAATGTCAAATGGAGAAATATGATCAGTTTATGTAGTTAGCTTCTTTTTGGTTTTGATGTGGTTTATTCCTAAAGGCAAAAGTTCTTCAATGTCTTGCAGATTGCTGTAGTAATATTCCATGATTTGTTTACCTATAACATTTTACTGCTCATTTATTTATTTTCTTAAGTATGTTTGGTTCTGCATGTAATAGTAATGTATGACTTGGTGAATAATTATAGAATTGTATATGAATATGTATAATACATTATTGCCTTTACTGAATGCTTCAGTTGCAAGAATGCACCTGGGCAGGTAACTTGATGCATCATCCAGCATTTTTATTATTTAGTAGCCTGAAAGAGAACAATAAAATTAACATCAACTTTGAACTTCGATAGTACTTTCATCCAGGCTGTCAAAGTGCTTTACAAAAGTAATTAATTGAGCCTTAAAATATCTGCCAGAAGCAGATATTAGTCCCTCTTCTAGAGCTGTTTGAATAGTAAACAACTGACTTGTGAGGTCATATTATTCATGGGTATTCTGTCACCTGCTAAGCATTCAGAAATTCCAAAGGATTCACAAGTTTTAGCAAAAATGACAAGTCATCCCAAAGCGCCGATCATAAGTGCAATTTTTGTTACATGTTTCCTGCTGAAAATATTTCAACCTCCTAAACAGGGAACAAAAACAGGACCACATGAACAGTAGCCAATTCCCAGGCCACTCCCCATCCCCTGTAGTCTCTGATGTGGTAGCATGTCAAGGGTAGAAAGGGGCGTAGTCAGAGCTTACTGAACTCTGGCTATTCTCAGCTGGAAGCAATAGCCAGCCAGAGTAGAGCAGTGATTATTGGGTACAGCTGAAAATGTAGTCCATGGGATAAATTTAGCAGTGCAACATGCATCTGATGAAGTGGGATCTAGCCCACGAAAGCTTATCCCCAAATAAATTTGTTAGTCTCTAAGGTGCCACAAGGACTTCGCGTTGTTTTTGCTGATACAGACTAACATGGCTACCGCTCTGAAACCTCAGGTTTTATTTATCTGTGTATGACTGCTATCACCACAGGATCTGATCACCCGAGTCACATATATCCCTGTCATTCTAGGCCACCATGGTCTTGGTGTTTAATCATAATCGCGTCTCCTCTTTTGCTTTAGCTTCACATGCACCACAATGAGGTGCTCTAGGAGATGCAGTAGCTCACCACTGCCTCAGTGAGCATCACCTCTATCAAAGTCTCAGCTTTCAGCAGCCCATGCAGTGAGTCTTGACACATGAGGGTCCTCCTGAACCTAGGCCTTCTTTGTGGCCCTGTGTTCTCTTTCGATTGGCCCACAACCCAAAAGGACAATGGACCCTTCACATCAGTAAATTTTTGTCATGATAAAAGACTTATAAAATTTGATACTTTTAAGGTTTTTCTAAATGCTGGAAAAATAAGTGTTGCTGAAGGGGGGAGGAGTCATGCAACGCCTCTGCCTCTGCTTGCGTCTATCTCTGCTGTTGCTGTCACGGTTGTCTCTGTTGCTGCCTCTGCCTCTAGTTATGATGCTGTGTTCTGAGGTTCTGCCACTTAGCCCAGTTCTTAGTGATTGCAGGTCTTAGTGATTTCACTGGGTAGTGGGGGCACTCGCTGCTGCTGCTGCTGCTGCTGCAATTCATTTTCCCTGTATTCAAGATTAAAGTGAACTTTAATCTGAAGCAGCCAAAACTGATCACTTTGGCAAAGCAAGTCTGTCTGCTGATCACCTAGGCAAA